CCATTCCACCTCATGCTTTATTTGAAATCGCCTACTAGTCAATCGGAATGCATACGGGTCATCGGGTCGACATCGACAAACAAACTAGACGAAGAGCAGGCGCGAAATGACAGAAATTACAACAGACATCAAAAAATTAAACGATGCAAGGATGCACAATAAAGACCCGGCGGACGATCGTCAGTTTTTCATAAAGCTGCTGAAATCCATAGTCAACGTTATTGAAGGTGCAACTGAGCCGGCCGCTTCTGCATTGGCAATATTTTGAACATAAGCCGCGTTCAACTGGTTGCTGATGGCCGCATCCTTTTTCATGGCTAATTCTAAACGATCTTTCACTTCGGGAAGCTCCTTCAGCAAGTGCCTGAACTCATCGGTGTAGATGGCACTGAGGGAGTTCAACCGCTGCAGCGCCAGATCGTGCAGCTGTTTTTTCGGATCTGATGGTTTTAGGCCAGAAGGGTTTTTGAGCAAAAACAACGCTAACAACTGCATGATAAGTGCAAGAAAAGTAGTTCCTGAAAATAAATATTTTTAGCTACCAAAAAGAGCTTTTTCAGAAGGCAATTAGTAAAACACAAAATTTTCTTACTAAAGCAACTAATTCACCGTTACAAAGGGAATAACAGTCGTATATTTTAGTCGATTCGCTTTGCTAGCCGATGAAGATCATCTACTACACGTGAAGTTCTGGAAATGCATATGCTGGGATCAAGGAAACAAAAGGTTCTTCAATGCGACATAAACTCGTAATTAACTTGTCCACAAGTCTGTATTACCTTATTACTCCAACCAGGAAGAACATATACGGTTGAACTTGCACAACTTCAGCGATAGACATTGACCAAGAGTACTTTCAACGAGTTATTGAGTCTCATTTGCTCAGCGTTATATTATCATTTCTGTTTACGACAATCGCCATAGCATAAAAAGAAGCCTACCACTCGTTTTCTATCGGATGTCTTCGTTGTCTATAAACCTTTTTTCTCGCATTCTGTCACTGATAGTGCAACCTGTTAGGTGCATGAAGGTACAGAGCAACGACAACTAATATGTGACCAGATCTATCTGAAATTTGGTCAGCAAATTGCACTCGCGGCAACGAGGATGTACAACATTACCTGCAATCGCAGTAGAGCAATATGTGCTGATCACGTGTACAGTACGGAGGTGCGTTTTTACGACTAAGATGCAAATATATTGTTTCCCATTCTCATCCTCAATAGCCTCTTGCTCTCAAAAAAAATACATTCGCAGCTAGGGAATCACGCTCCAACTAGTCTGAACCAGGATGCACCACCGGGTGTGCCAGCAGTCAACACTACAACAAGTAATTTCCGTTTTGCTTGCTGGAAGGTTAGCTAAATTGTGAAAGTAAGTTGGATTATGCCTGTTGTACGTTCGGTCGGTACAAACTCGACATACTGTAGACCACGGAAATTCGCCTTCATAAGAAGGGGACACTTGACCTACTGGATAGGTGGTCACTTTGCTTGTCAGGTCACAACAGGAGGCATCCTGCCGATGTGGGTATCGTTTTGTCAGCACGGATAAACTGGGTGGTCTTTTCTGAGGAACACGTGTCAGGTGGGATATTGACCTGCCGTATGAGAATGTGAAATCTGCAAACGCTGAATCCCGTAGTCTCCACTGCCTGACAAATATGTAGAGTGACAAATACGCTTTTCGTAACTGTTTTCGCTCGGCGGCGGGCGCTTCGTCACGCTATGACGTCAAAACTGTCACAAGCAACCTCAACACGAAGACTGACGTTAACAACTGCACCTGGCCAGGTGCAGTCGGTCGTCATGGAATTTCAACGGCGAATGACACGGCGTAGCTGTTAAACGCTTACTCGGCAAACATCATAGTCGTCTGCGGGACCATACTGCGTCATAAGTGAATTTATCAAATTATATGGACATCCAAGACGGAAGCCTGTGGCACCCAAAGGACATACCTGCAGCAACGCAAATGGCACAGGTCGTATCAGGAGTGACTCCTGCATGGGGTCTAATCACCATATGGTCGTAGTCGCATTTCGTCTAAAAACAGCCTGTCTGAAACATCAATGTCGCCTGCCTGAAACACACCAGCTTCTGGATGTTGACAGTTTACAGTATGACGAAGATGTGCGACGGCCTACCAAAAAGATGAAGAAACTTTATTGTCACTTCTAGCTATCAGTCAGAAATTGGCAAAGTCGACTAAGTTTACAGAAACGCATATGGAATCAGGAGCAGGAAAACCTAACTGTCCTAAGTTACATAGAACCCCTTAGTTCCTAGCGAAAAGAAGATTCAAGCAAACTAGAAGTACCTGCAACACCCAACAGCACCGTCGAAGTAGCTCATCGTCGTCTCATTCATTCGTGCAGTCAAAGAGAGCTACAAGCTAGCAAGAAAATTTGACTACTGGGTGAAATCAGAAAGATCGATAAGGCACACAGAAAGGATGGTTGGCAAAACATTTTCCAAGGAGTACGACAGCTGTCAGGTAAGAAGAGAATCCTTCCACCCTAATCCGAAACTTTAAGGCTGTCCCATTTGCAGAAAAGAAGAAACGCCTAACAAATGAAGAAACAATTTCAAGAGATACTGAACGGCTGCCCTCAAGATTCACCGTTTCAACCGTTAATTTCCTACCGAAAGTAGAAGTTAACGTATACCCCGTACAAACCAGAAATTCAAAAGGCCTTGATGCACCTCAAAAGGAAGAAAGCCTGTAGTGT